TCGAGAGTAAAACGAAAATTAAACAACTTTTATCTGGAAACGTTTGTTTAAACTGCACAGCAGTGCTTAAGAAATCGCAATCCGATGAGTTTATGAAATTTGTAGATTTTTGGGGTATGCCCCCCCCGCGCCGTATCCAAGGCCGCCTTTTTGATGGATCCGCCAGTGGTTGGAATGGGTTACCATAAATCTCGGTAAACGGAGCTCTACGACATAACAGTGGTAGGTGAGCAGTAACCGCCACGGTATTTAGGTTTGTGGATCGTCCATGAACGCGCAGCATCGGTGCGGTGGATCCATCAAGCACGACCGAGGAAGGGCTGCTAAATTTGAGTCACTGAACCAATTGACATCCTCATCCATCCCCCAAGTGAATGAGTTCGGTGACTCTCAATAATACCATAGACCTCTGTATACCGAGTAGAGTTGCAAAGTTTTCCCAATGGGCTGCTACCGGCACCACCCCGCCCCACAAAAATTTTCTGGGATACCGGCATGCTACCACGCCCCAAGCAAAAACACCGCCAAATTACCGGCATACTAAAAAACCTGCATTCTTGATTCTGGCTTACCCCTACATGAGATGCAACATTTTGGCAATATCAGTAACCGCCTCACCCAGCAGCCACCCATTGTCCAACCAAAACTCCAGTAGCCTGATTTTGGCTGAGTTGGCCCCACAAATACCACGATTTTGAAACTCAATTCCAGTTTACAGCTGTTAAAATATCACCTGTAATCAAAGAGGTATTGCCTACAAAAAGCATTAACTCATTCATCAAAAAAGCAAGGTCAAAAAGAACTTGAATTACTGAATTGTGTTTCTGAAGACTGCACAGTGAGCAGCAATCACATTTACCACAAGCGTTCTTATTTTCCACATTACCCTAAAATGAACTATAGCTAGTCATAAATCACAATATAAAAAACTACAGATTTGGCCATGTTCCTAACTGAGGAAGCGAGATCAACATCTGTTTTTTCCTATCCGCCATGGCTTGATGGCTCGTGAGTAAGATACGAATCATGTAAAAATATGTGTTAATAACTCACTTGTCCTGAGAAGTCACCAAATAATATGTATAAAATAATATGTATCTGTTTTGTGTGGGAGCGGACCCCCTCCTGGCGGACGGTAGGCTGGGATGGGAGGGTCGTCCGAGAGCAGATCCTGCCCCCTCTCTCCCCTCTCCCCTCTGTGAGACGGCTGACGTATGGCTGACAGGGACGGGCCAGTTACTGAGCTCTTTTCCAGCCGTTTGTTTCCCGCACTCAGCCCAAGGTAGGGGAGCAGTTTCGTGACAAAACCGTCTTCATGGGAAACTGAATTTTCTTCATGTGATGTGGTGTCCCTTCCCTATACCTACTATTGTTGATAGTGTAGGGCAAGAGCGATATATTTTTATTTGATTCGCTATCTTTTTGCGTAATCTGTATTTCCATTCAACGCTTAGGTCGTTTGCTCTCTATCTACTGGAAAGCACTGAAAAATGCATTACCCAATGTCGTTTTGTCTAACCTGGATGATCAACTCTACGTCTACTTTTCTCCGAGTCGTCACCAATGTTGGAATTGTGAATTTTGGTCCTTGTCCCGGAGAATAAAATCTGTCCTGAGAACCGGCAAGCTTTTAGAACACTCAACAGGAAAATCACATGTTTGGCCTACCAAATGTGACAGTTGATAAAATATGCTCTCTCAATGCTATAACTGGCAGCATGTTTTAGGCGTAATAATAGCTGTTTTCCATCACGCTGGCTAGAAATTTAAGAGATTTCAGGTGCCAGAGTATAAATTTGTAAAGGAGAACATAATTGTTTGGACCCGACTGGAACCAGCAAAGGGCCATATTTCCAACATTGGTCGTCACTGACCCCCTCCCCCCATATCATCACTCCCTTCCTGATAGCTTGACATATGACGTCACCCGTCCCTCAATCCAAATCACTGCACGTCATCTACGTATCAGCTCAAGGAACATCACGTCAGTCATTACGTCTGCCCCCCGGCGCGGCGGTGACGTGAGTGCTGACGGGGCGGCACCTCCCACACGTCAGCCGGTGATGTGCATCAGTCGCCCGACATTGGTCCGACCGGCCCCCTCCGTGCATCAGTCGCCCGACATTGGTCCGACCGGCCCCCTCCGTGCATCAGTCGCCCGACATTGGTCCGACCGGCCCCCTCCGTGCATCAGTCGCCCGACATTGGTCCGACCGGCCCCCTCCGTGCATCAGTCGCCCGACATTGGTCCGACCGGCCCCCTCCGTGCATCAGTCGCCCGACATTGGTCCGACCGGCCCCCTCCGTGCATCAGTCGCCCGACATTGGTCCGACCGGCCCCCTCCGTGCATCAGTCGCCCGACATTGGTCCGACCGGCCCCCTCCGTGCATCAGTCGCCCGACATTGGTCCGACCGGCCCCCTCCGTGCATCAGTCGCCCGACATTGGTCCGACCGGCCCCCTCCGTGCATCAGTCGCCCGACATTGGTCCGACCGGCCCCCTCCGTGCATCAGTCGCCCGACATTGGTCCGACCGGCCCCCTCCGTGCATCAGTCGCCCGACATTGGTCCGACCGGCCCCCTCCGTGCATCAGTCGCCCGACATTGGTCCGACTGGCCCCCTCCGTGCATCAGTCGCCCGACATTGGTCCGACCGGCCCCCTCCGTGCATCAGTCGCCCGACATTGGTCCGACTGGCCCCCTCCGTGCATCAGTCGCCGGACATTGGTCCGACCGGCCCCCTCCGTGCATCAGTCGCCCGACATTGGTCCGACCGGCCCCCTCCGTGCATCAGTCGCCCGACATTGGTCCGACTGGCCCCCTCCGTGCATCAGTCGCCCGACATTGGTCCGACTGGCCCCCTCCGTGCATCAGTCGCCCGACATTGGTCCGACCGGCCCCCTCCGTGCATCAGTCGCCCGACATTGGTCCGACCGGCCCCCTCCGTGCATCAGTCGCCCGACATTGGTCCGACCGGCCCCCTCCGTGCATCAGTCGCCCGACATTGGTCCGACCGGCCCCCTCCGTGCATCAGTTGCCCGACATTGGTCCGACCGGCCCCCTCCGTGCATCAGTCGCCCGACATTGGTCCGACCGGCCCCCTCCGTGCATCAGTCGCCCGACATTGGTCCGACCGGCCCCCTCCGGCTGTAACCAGTCAAATCGACTCCGGCGCCGAGGTGGGGTTGGGATTCGGCTGTCCCGGCTCCGTCAGCTCGGCTTGTCAAATGACGGTGTGTCAGCATAGTTGTCAGTTTTCCTCAAAGTGTTGTGAGTGGCCTAGTTCTCAAAGTTGTAAGCTTTTTTCGAAACATGCGCCAGATATTTCCAGATATGATATCTACCTACCTATAATTTAAGTCCTAAATAATCCGCCCAAGCCGCCGTGCGCGGCGTAGCGCCCTTATAGCGCCTATTGCGGTGGCGTTAGTTGACCTACGGAGGTGAAATTTTCAGGATGTGTTGGTCATGTGAACACGTAGCTCGTATTTGGTCATGTGAACACTGAACACGTAGCTCGTATTAAATTTTGGACATGATGCGGCTAGGGGTGCGCCCTTGGCGCATGCTCACGTACAATCAGTCTCGAAAGTACCACGCATCGGTGCGATGGATCCATCAAGCCCGACTGAGGAAGGGCTGCTAAATTTGAGTCACTGAACCAATTGACCTGGGGGATGGATGAGAATGTCAATTGGTTCGGTGATTCTCCAAATTAGCAGCCCTTCCTCGGTCGGGCTTGATGGATTCATCGCAACGATGCGCGATACTTTCAAATCTGTCTGTACACCATTAGGGTTATTAACCCTCGCCCGCACATGCCATTTTCCCATCCTAGAACGCACATGGGGGGGGGGGGGTGGTTGCCACCCCCCGCGCCATTTCGTTCCTGTTGGAGATAGAGCTTAGCAGTAAAGACCAAAAAGATTCTTTGGGAAGAGACGAATCCAATGATACCCAGTTTTACCTTCTCAGGTCAGTCATTGACCTTCCAGGTCAGGTCAAACTAAAAAATGTTGCTGTTTTGGGTCACCGTTGGATTTCAAGTGCGCTGCTTATCAAATACCGATGACGATGCTGTTTTCTGGTGCCAAGCCAGCTAGAACCTCTTTGTCACACTATCCGACCAGAATTTTGCTGCTGAGGTCATTTCAGGTCAAGTTAGGTCAAGGTCAATTATATGTGTTTGTATGTCTGTGTGTGTCTGTGTGTATACTGATGTGTGCACCGATTGTTTTTGGGTCCATATCACATGAAATCATGATCTGAGAAGCTTTTACCAAAAATGCAGTCAAAAAACTTCACAAAAAGTAAATTCAGCTTGCCTAAAACGCAATTATCTTAGATGACCTAGGTTGACCTTGACCCTGACCTTAACCCCTGTACATCGTCGAACAACATGTTCCATGATAGGTGGGAGGTAAGACTGGCAAAAAAGGCCGAAATCAGGGTGTCAAAAGCTCACAAGGCCCATGGCAAACGCAAGATGTTGAGAATTGGCTATTTGGGTCATGACATGACCTGAAAAACAAGGTCATATCTCCGAAACCAAAAATCACAGAAACTTGAAATTTTCAGTGGACATCAAGAAAGGATAGACGAGCAGCTATACGAAAAATCAGCCTTCTAGCTCTAAAAATCTTGAGTGCAGAGCAGAAAGACTGCCTGGGGGGGGTGGCAACCACCCCCCTCCATGTGCGGGCGAGGGTTGGAAACGACGAAACCGGCGATTGGACAAAAATCGGCCTGCGGCAGGCTTAGGTATAACTCGGTCAGCGACACGCAGTTGCCACCAATAAAGATAAAGGAGGGATGGGCCGAACGAATTTATAAAGTTTCATTGTAAAACACGTGTACCATGTGTGCAGGTTTCAGTTTGCATAGCCACCTGCAGCAGTAACGATTCAGCATCAATCTTATGAAATTCTTGTCTTCTGAATTTTCGACACCCTGTAGATATATCACGCAACGCGTAGTGCCGACCCTTCAAGTAAACGATACAAAATCATAAGCTGTTTATTACAAGCCAAATAGTGTGATCTCGTCACATGCGCCACACATAATCCTTGACACGTGATCGACATATTAAAGCGAAAAGGGAACTAGCCTTGCGCGCTGGCCAAATGATCTTATCTAATATAGGTATCTTCATTCGTTTCTGGAATTCGCTCAACGCCAATAAGAAATAATGCAGCGTGCAGATCCCTCGAGCAGGTGCTGGCTACTCCCTCAGATGTCTCACATCTTGTCCTACCAGGATAGCAGAGTAAGTATTGGGTAGGTTTAGGACCTGTTCAGTCAGTGGGCTTGTGCATAGGAATTCATGCAGCTGCTAATTCAGAAAAGACGGGTGGAAAAAGGCGGCGTAAGACGGGAGCAACGACTGTTGACCAGACCGAGCCTCGGAAACATCGACTATTTTTTACTTTTTATAGTCCGTTACACATGATCAGGCGTGCCCCACCCCACCCTTGCAGTCCAAGCGACGCACAGAACCCTTGCCTTAAATATCAAAATAAAAAGGAAAAGTTGCGGCACTCCAAGAAGAGGAAAGAAACGTAAAAGAAGCCGAATTGACTACGTATGCTATTCTGTAATTTGATTAGTGGATACAGAGAGCCATATTAGTTTATACCAAATCCAGTCTAAACTGTCTGCTAATCCAGGGTTCAATCGTGCATTGTTAAGAAGAAACACACACGCTCACACAAGGGGACATTAGTGGGGTGAATCAGGTCTGGTCTAATTCACGCATGTCTTACCATCCCTCCCGATGCCCTCCAGCTAAGCCGAGTTTGTTGCAGGAGATTCATCAGGAGAGCTGGAGCCTGATATATGGTGATTAGTGCAAACACATATTCCCAGGTCAGCACTCTGCCAGTCTCATACTCCTGCGGCCCGCCAGGCCAGGCCAGGGCGGTACCATTCACCATTATACGATCGGTAATTGATACTCTTACGTAATTGTGCTCACATAAAGTTGGGTTAAGTAATGTGAAATGTGTTCATGAATAGCTGTTCTACCAGTTGAAGTGTTCGACAGATTTGTGTCGGTAGTTGACGTGCTCACGGTCCGTTAAGTGACTGCCTCGCGGACAGTTGGGTTGACAGTTGATGCGGACAACTGATGCCGTTGCGGACAGTTTGGGTGGTAAGTGATGTGCCCCCGTACAGCTGGATCGGTTGTTACGCGTTCTTACGGACCTCTGGAGTGGGCTGATGTCCTCACGGACAGTCGGGCTGATAATCGAGCGCCAGCTGACACAGCGGCAGCCACAGGGCGCTGGCTGGGTTATCATGCCAGTCGATCCAATGACCGGACCCCGGTGCGCTGAGAATTATGCGATCCTCTGTACCTATGTCGGGCTGCTCTCTGCCCCAGCGGTGGGAGATGGGTACTGGTCCGCAGCCGTCCGCTCCTGTGTACACCCCTGTGTACTGGCCGTCCACCCCCGGCACCAGGAGGACCCCCAGCCAGACCACCGTGGCCACCGCCGTGTCCACGGCGCACTGATTCTCGGCGTCGGAGCGGGGCACGGCCACGTGGGCGCCCAGCGCGGCGCACTGGCTCTCCGCTGTCGTGTAGTTGACTTTCGTGTTCAGTCGCTGCAGACAGCGGCCGGCACAGCGGCTGAAGCCGGCCGGGCAGGCGCATCGGTCGGTAGCAGAACCTGAGAGCACATGAGCCAAATCAACTGCAGTGTAATGAGTCGCTGTGTAATGAGGCGCAGGAGCTTTTTTTTAGTCAAACTCGCGCCTCATTTCTCTGAAAATGTTACCTCTTTCTCAATGCTTGGGAACATGTTCAGATTTCAAAAAAGGATCTTTTGTTATCCTTGCATGATATTTGAGCTCTATCAACAGATTGGAGTCGGATGTGGAAATTAAAGGATAAACAGTTCTTAGTTCTTAGTTCTTAGTTTAAAACCATTAGTTTTTGTGTTTGCTGATTTGCAGTTGACAGCATGCAGGCTCACTTGAAGTGGCAATAGCAATGATGAGAATAGCTGATTGATTTATTAACAATCCCCAACAATCCCCAATACGAATCCCAAGAGTCATAATCGTTGCTATATTAAGCACTGGTAGATCCAGGGGGGGGGGGGGGCAGTTGGGGCAAATAGCTTCCTCCGCGGCGCCCGAAATCGATGAAATTTTGCGTTTTTTTTCGAGACTTAGAAGAAAATAAAACTTATCGGGAAAGGTTTGTTACGAGCGAGCGAGCGCAGCGAGCGAAGCGAGTCCTTTCAATATAACGGAAAAATCTCAGTATGAGCGGCCCGGCCCGGCCCGGCCCGGCCCGGCCTGTAACGCTTTTGAGAGGCTTATATCTCAGCAACCGCTGGACCGATTGGCCTGCGGTCTTTTTTGCTGGGTAGCCCCATCCCTTCTACCCCGTAATTGACTACTTTTGATACATCTCAGTGACCGTCGTGGCACGTGCCACGTGAAAAGTCAAGGGTGTTCAAGCTGTTTTGCAAAAGTAGTGATTTTGAGAGGCTCATATCTCAGCAGCCGCTTGGGTGATTGACTTGCGGTAATTTTTATAGGGTAGCAGCATCCCTTCTACCAAAAATAGGATACTCTCGATGCATGTGGGTCACCCCCAGTGCACGTGCAAAATACAACAATAAGAGGTGTCAAATTTGTTCCCATTTTAATAACTCGGAAATTACTGGGGCGATTTCGCTGAAACTTGGCTAACAGGTAGGCACCCACCAGGCAATGCATTCCCATGTGTTGCGGTTAAGGTGCTACTGCACGTGCGCACGTGCAGGGGGCGTTTCCAGATCTCGAGAACGGCTGGGCCGATTGCGCTCAAATTTGGTACACAGTTGGAGACCAGTTAGTAGGGTGCCGTGCACAAGTCATTTTGGACCCCGTTTGCACGTGCGCACGTGCAGAATGCCGCTTCCAGATCTCAGGAACGGCTGGGCCGATTGGGTTCAAATTTGGCACACCGCTAGCGACCGGTTAGAAGGGTGCTTTGCACAAGCCCGTTGGAAGTACCCTCTCGCCCTTCCGCACGTGCAGGGCTCACTATCTCGCTCGCTCGTTCTTCGCCCAAAAGGCGTTTTACTGGTTTTAAACTGCTCAGCAGTGCGTAAGAAATCGAAATCCGAGGAGTTTTTGGAAATTGCAAAATCGTTTTTGGCGTATGCCTCCCGCTGCCTCCAAGACAGCCTTTCTGGATCCGCCAGTGTTACTAGGATACTAATTAGAAAAATACTCTTCCACGTTTTGATTACATTATTTTGTATTGTAGTTGTAAGTATTGAATGAAATTGAATGAATGAATTATGTATATGAATGAAATGCAGTGAAACTTCACTCCAATCCCGAATCCTGTTCACTAATATTGTTTGGATAAACTCACCAGGAGCGACGACTCGGGCCATGTAGCGTTCGGTGGTCTGTTGAGAGCTGTTGACGGCCGGACCGCGGCAGTCGCCAGAGAACAGCCGGCAAGTGCCGTCCTCTGGTCGGTAGATGAAGCCGCTACACTGCTGAGGGGTGTGCGCCTCACAGCGGAGCCCGCAGCTGATCTCTGAGGTGGCTGAGACGGTCTGCACAGCCGGGCCGGGGAGGGACACCGGGTCCGGCGAGAGGTACCGGACCGCGGCTGCTGACGTCACCAGGAGCAGCAGCAGTACCGCTCCCGGCCGGGCCATGGCTGCGTCTGCCCTGCAGGTCCTAGGAAAACCACAAAGACAAAGACCAGTGGTTTGCATTTGCATAACTACATAAATAATTCAAACACTTGTAATTGCAAGTTGCTAGTGAAGCAGGCCTGTGATGTTACATGTAGGTAAATACCTACTTATGACGCGATCATTAATAAATCATTAGCTGCAGTCGTTAGAAGCACTGGCGGATCCAGGGGGCATTTGGGGTAAATGCCCTCCCCCCTCATCCCACAGCGCCCGTACTCCACAAAAAGTTGTGGTTTTTCGAGACTAAAACGAAAATTAAACAACTTTTATCTGGAAACGTTTGTTTAAACTGCACAGCAGTGCTTAAGAAATCGCAATCCGATGAGTTTATGAAATTTGTAGATTTTTGGGGTATGCCCCCCCCCCCCGCGCCGCGTTCAAGACCGCCTTTTTGGATCCGCCAGTGGTTGGAATGGGCTACCATAAATCTCGGTAAACGGAGCTCTACGACATAACAGTGGTAGTAAGTGAGCAGTAACCGCCACGTTATTTGGGTTTCTGGATCGCCCCTGAACGCGCAGCATCGGTGCGGTGGATCCATCAAGCACGACCGAGAAAGGGCTGCTAAATTTGAGTCACTGAACCAATTGACATCCTCATCCATCCCCCAAATGAATGAGTTCGGTGACTCTCAATAATACCATAGACCTCTGTATACCGAGGTCTATGATAATACCTAACTCTAATGGAGAAATGGACGCTTGTAATTTAAAATTGTATATAGGTATACTGATGGTCTTCCTCACTTATGTGTTTTCTTCATTTTTTTTTGCCAATTTACCGGCTTGGAAAAAATCTGCCTGTTCTGCGATTTTTATTAGCATTTAGGTATTGTAGGTAAGTTTGGGGACTCATGCATGCTCATTGTTCATTGCTCATTGGTCTCCCCCATCCCAAGCTAGTTCCAATAGACACACCCTGCAAGGCCGTATAAGGCACCCCTTAATATCGCTGCCGATTTGATCGGTTCGGTTGATGCCGCATCGGTCGCTGTTGGTTTCAAAGTCGACCTCTGAGTCGCCACCTGACCGGTCGATGTTCACCGCCGAGCTGCCGTGTCGGTGACGTCACTGGAGAGACGCCGTGTGATTGTGACGTCACTGGAGCTAGATTGATTTGTCGCGTGGTGCAGGGAAGGGGGGGGGGAGGTTTTGATGAGGTACGGGGAGCGGGGTTATTAGATATGGACTATGGAGTAGATTGGATATGGAGCAGGAGCTGCTGGTGACAACTGTAGTGCTGCTTGTCTTTTAGAGTTCTCAAAAGAAAAGAAAAAAAAAAACATCGATAGATATGGAAACGGTATCTACCTACTCCATCGGTACCTACCTACCTACCTACCTACCGCTGCAGGACAGGGCTATTCTCTGTGTGACAATTTAAGATATGCATAACATAACGGGTGTTCACTAAAAATTGGGACAAAGTTTAACAGGCTGAAACTTCGATAAAAATGCATCGATTCAAACAAACGACGTATCATTCCACTGCGCATTGTATCTGCTTCAAGTTGTAGAGCGTCAACAGATTTGTGTGATCGCTATCGGTCCTTTTTTGGACGCTTGTTTGGAAGCGTCGGAAAAGGCTCTGGCGCGGTTGGGCCGTGCTTTAGGCCAATTTATGGCGGTATTGAGCTATCAACTGATCTTTTGTGTGACATTGAAAGACACCACCATACGTTATGGGCTTCGGTAAAGCACATGAAATGATCATTTGTTTAATTTCAGGCGTGGCAAATAGTTAATTAGACCTCATCCCAACGGTAATTTTACATCGGCTGGGGCCCTCGAGACATCCCTTGGTTAACGTGCTGTCGCGAACTCGGGTCAGGAGATCACCTTCTGGCCACAATATATGTTCTGTATGAACCTCTAGTGCCGAATAATACACTTGACTCAATAGGTAGCATATTATTAAGGATCAAGCTGGAGGAAGAAAGTCTAACTGATTATATGCTCTGAAAAAACACCCACGCCACGGCCTCCAGCGTTAACATCCATACTGACACGTAATGGACGTTAGCTTCTGTACCATCGCTACCATCACTGTAGAACACTATTGTCTAGTTGATCGTTTCCCTTGAACTAAAAATATGATTTGTTGTCCTTGAATAATTCGACCTTTTTTCTTACAGGATTTGGTCCATTCTTGACCATTGTATATTTGCCTCTATTACCTTATGTTGTTCCCTGTCGCTACGCGAAATCATTTCCGCTGTTTATAGCTCAGCCTAGCCTCAGGTGGAAATATCTTCTTCGCGTGGGCACAGCTAACACCTTATTGATCAACAACGTTGCACCGTGAGGTCCCAAAGACCCCCTACACGTGCATTTTCGTGTACCCGACCTTTCTTTAGGCCCATATCTTCAGGTTAACACCACTTCAGGTTTTTCTGACGATACACTCTCACTAGTACTTCCTTTCCATCATACGTAGGCGACTAAGATCGACATTCTAGTTTTTATTAAGTATTTGTACGTGCGAGACTCTCCCATTAACGTACTATTTGGAAAAAGCCTGCCAGTGGGCTTTCGGTGGTCCTCATCTAAAACGACTTTCAACGCAACTGTTTTCATTAACTTCGTGAAATTTGACACTCGATATGATGAGAAATGTTCAATTTACCTATATTCCAAATTGCATCGCAATAGCTTGCTTCACTTTTGGTGTGCAGCCATTCAAACTTTGTTTCAATTTTTAGTGAACACCCAAGTGCGCGTAAAATGCATACAATATGTGTTTTATGTCATTTCGTTTCAATAATTCACAGCTTCATAGCTGTACAGGCTTATGCCTGGGTTTATTTGCAGACATGCTGAGAAAAAAAAATCCGTTTACGACAGTCGACAACATTGGCAATCCTTTGAAATGATCAAAGCTTAATAAAATCAATACAATTAAAGCCAAGCCATGGTGAGATGGCAACCGGCTCGCCCGTTTTCGTCAGCCGATTTGTATTGACCCTGATAACTCTGTAGTCTGTGCTAGCTGTTCAAACGACACGGGCATGACCATAGTGTGGGCTTACATTAAAACCTTAGATTACTTTTCCACCCAATCATTATATGGGCATGTGACTGGATGTTTTCCTCATAGATGGCAATCATAAATGTTTAACAGCGGTCACTTTTCCTGATGTTATCTGCTATTATCCATGGTTTACGTTTATGTATCAGAGCTATAAAGCGATTGACATGCTAGAACGCTGTTAAACGTTATAACCTCGATTCATTCGCTAGAAATACATTCAATTTTATGTTTCACCGAATACATCCGATTGCGATTTCCGTTTCGAATGTTGGTGCTTCCAAGAGGTTTGTGAACCATTTTATTTGCTGCTTATAATGATGATAAAACATTCCTCGTTTGGGATTCGCTATTTTGCGTTAACTCCCTAGTGGGCAATAGACTGGCAACTGTTATGATTAAACTGAAATTTATATGTCTATGAATTTGCAATTATGTTGGAGACCGGCTTCTATTACAATAATGAGAACGGATGGCTAGATGAGCTGCGTCTGTCCAGAGATCTCTGCGGATGGCCGGCTCAGCTGCCCGGTGCTCTGGGTTACTCACCATGGAACAGTCGTGCTCCCGGTCCGCGGGCCATCGGCTCATCTTGGTGGAACAAAGTAGATGATTGTTACATCTGTGACTTATGCCATTACTGGCGTGTAAAGCGGTACTTTTATCTCTACTCATCATTGCGTTAGATCGTTAGGTATGTCTCATTGCTTATTAGATCGTTATTATCTATACGTTTTATCACTCCGAATCTGTAGCCGTCTTTTTACGTTGGTTCTTTCCCGTTTCAAAAACAGCCTTACATAAACTTCTGCGAAATGTAATAACGCAATATAAAAGTTGTGAAGGGAGCCCAGTATTGATCCATCCGGTCAGGTCACGGTTCGGTGATTATTAGCTCGATGTTTTCCACCTCGCATTCATTTTCAATGGCTGAATAGTTGAATAGCGCCGAATGCTGCATGAATGGCCTCCAGCTCATATATCTCCCTGATGACTCATGTAAGACGCTCTGAGGATATTATTGCTGGTGTTATTTGTATGTGTGGAGGCTGATATCTGGCGGGGGATATTCCTTATGAGGTGTCACGTATAAGACATTGGCTATCGCGTGACCACGCTCAGAGATCATGCATGTGTCGGCTCGAGACGTTTGAACTCAGTTTTGAGGACGTGGGACGATGAAAGAGTATCAGAAGCTTCCAAGCAAAGTGCTCTGTTCACCTCTGCGTGCGTGCTGGCGTGGTTAGTATGCATGCCTGCTCTGTAGTCACTAGTCTCCCACGTGGCCTGTTTTCCTATATCACGTGGCGAGAGGGTCGGAGCACGTGGTACGGGTGTGGACACAAGTGGACTCTTTCGTACTCAGGCGGACACGAGTGGACCCAGTAGTGTACTCCGCTCTAGGGCCCACCTTGATTGATGGGAGACCACCCAAGGAGATAAACCATTACCGCGGCCCGCCGCCTTCCGCCGAGACAACCCGACGTGAGGGAGGCGCGCAGCCCCGCGGCCACAACCCGCTCCAGACAGGTGGCGCTGGCTGTCGGAACGCCCCGACCTGAGCGCCCCTGGCGGCCGGAGTGTGAACCACACCGTCCGACTGATGAGGTGTCCCTGCGGGGCCCCTGGACGGGTGTGGGATGGGCGGGCCGGGAGGCACCGGACCGTGAATGGATGATGGACAGGTGACATGAGAGGTCATGTCATGTGATGACAGGGATATTTGAGGTGACACCCAAAGCTCTGGAGTGGGTGAGGCTGCTAACAGGGGGCAAACCCGGTGTGTCATTGCCGTTCCGCATTCGTATCGTGTGATCAGAAATGTTATCGTGGAGTGGATGTTCCTCAGCCATAGAAGCTCTAGCTGTAGCTCGTACTCTCGCCGCACTCAAACACACCACAAACTCCAATGTTTGTCAACGCCCAGTCACACGGAAGCAGCTCCGGTGCGGAAGTACCACCAGCGACAACTTCCCGTGGCAGGC